TAGACTGCAGCCAGAAACTCCTGAATGCTCAGATGAACAAAGCAGTACACTGGTTTCTGGAAGATCACACACTCTCTTCTGAAGATCTCTGTACAAACTCCTGAGTACACCGAGGCCTCTGTGACATCCAGACCACACTGCTCCAGGTCTTCTTGGTAGAACATGATGTTTCCTTCCTCCAGATGTTCAAACGCCAGCCTCCCCAGCTTCAGAAGAACTTCCCTGTCAGCCTCTGTCAGCTCCTGTGGACTGGTCTCAGGTCCTTCATGGTACTTGTTCTTCTTCCTGGTTGTCTGAACCAGCAGGAAGTGTGAGTACATGTCAGTCATGGTCTTGGGCAGCTCTCCTCTCTGCTCTGTAGTCAACATGTGGTCTAGAACAATAGCAGTGATCCAGCAGAAGACTGGGATTCCACACATGATGTGGAGGCTCCTGGAGGTCTTGATGTGGGAGATGATTCTGCTGGACAGCTCTTCATCACTGAACCTCCTCCTGAAGTACTCCTCCTTCTGGGCGTCCGTGAAGCCTCGTACTTCTGTAAGCCTGTCCACACATGAAGGAGGGATCTGATTGGCTGCTGCAGGTCTGGAAGTGATCCAGACCAGAGCCGAGGGCAGCAGGTTCCCCTTGATGAGGTTTGTCAGCAGCACATTGAGCGAGGACTTCTGTGTGACGTCAGAAAGCAGCTGACTGTTGGTGAAATCCAGGTGGAGTCTGCTTTCATCCAGGCCGTCAAAGATGAAGAGAAGTTTCCAGACAGCCAGCTTCTCTGCTGGGAGCTTCTGTAATGTTGGATGGAAAATGTGGAGCAGTGTGAGAAGACTGTACTGCTCATCTCTGATCAAGTTCAGCTCCCTGAACGAAAGCACAACCACCACGCTCACATCTTGGTTCTCCAAGCCCTCGGCCCAGTCCAGAGTGAACTTCAGCACCGAGAAGGTTTTTCCAACGCCAGCGACGCCATTGGTCAGAACCACTCTGATGGATCCATGTTGCTCAGGTAAGGCTTTAAAGATGTCCTGGCACCTGATTGGAGTCTCCTGGAGGCTCTTGGTCCTGGAAGCTGTCTCCAGCCGCCTCACCTCATGTTGGGTATTAACCTCTTCACTCTGTCCCTCTGTG